ATCGTGATAACCGTTCCGCCACGGAGGCCGTTTGTATATATACAATTACATGGAATCAAACCTTAAAGGAGACTCTAGTAATTGTGAACAAACTCCAAACGAAAAAAACTAGTTACTTAACCACTATAGGGATTATTTATAAGAAGGCCCATGTTTACATGTTGTTCATACTTAATAAATACATTACAGTTAAAAATTATTCGTGGCGTCATGTCCTTTCTACAAAGCAAGTAGGCATCCATATTTTGTTGCCTGCACGACAAGGACACATACGTACTAATATTAAAGTGGTTCAATATAATCTCAGTACAGAGTACTAAAAAAACCGACCTCAAAAGTACGTGGAATTACGTCTATTTGCCAAGTTTTATTAAAATATCCCCTAGTTCGCCACTATACAGGACTTGACACAGGAAATAATAAAAATCGGTTCTCACTACTCAAAGTATATTGAGAGAGAAACGCCTTGAATTGGAGAATAGCAAAATCAGCCATTAAAATAATTGCTCCTTATAATAAAATTTAGGCGCTGTTTATAAAAATTAATCTTCATGCGTGAACAGCCACCCTTAGAGGTGGATGATTTCCTTCAAAATGAAATGGGACCACTTTGGAGGTACCCCCTTTCCAACAAAAAAAGAATCATGAAAATCGGTTCACAAATACCGGAGTTATCGCGTAACATACATACAAAAAATACATACAGTACAATTGAGGACCTCCTCCTTTTCTTTTGAGTCGGTTAAAAATAAAATGAATATGTACGCTTCAGCTGTAGAGCGGCGAAAATATGTAATCAATACCTATTAAATTGAAACCATAATTAAGGAACAATAATATACCTGTTAATTTATTGCTCTATTTTATGTTATAGCGTAAGCTCCAGAAAGCATAATATCAACATGAAAAATTAGCTGAGAGAGTCAGCAGAAAAATAGTTATTACGACTTTTGTTTCTGCAATGTTTCAAGTAAATCCTTCACTGTCATAAAGTCTTAACTAAGTGCTAGAAAGGAAGACAAATGTATACCCGGCGGCGGTCGTTATCATTAGGCGTGTATTGTAACCAAACACGTTTGTTATAACCGGGTTTAAACGATAATAGGATTACTCTAGCAATTAACTGAAATTAAATACTTCACTAATGATTCTAGAAAGTGAACTCTGAAACATTACTCAGCATATTCGCTTTTAAAGGCTTTCGATAATTTGCCTGAGCCCAAACCTTGGATTAAGGTTATTAATGGCCCTTTTTGCCTCTTTTTCAACTTACAGTAATCTTTCGTAAAAAAAAATTAGTTTAACAATCCATAGACGTACGTACGGTAATAGGCAGTGATAATCAATAAAAAGCCCCTGGCAAGCAATCAAAACAATAGCTAGAGTGTGGCAGTGCCGGCAGTGCCGGCAGTGCTACGCTGCGCTACGAGCTACGATTCGCTACGGCCATCAAACGAATGATATTTCCATTGCATTTCTTTTGTTATTCGACTATGAGAACAATTTTCTATTCGATGGCGTTTTGCATTTTTTTTCTGACTAACGAATCGAATGTTTTCAATCCGATGCGAATATTGGTGAAACTCATAATAAAAAATTTCTGGATGTGCATACAAATCCCATTTTCTACCTCGCCGACAACAAATTATACTTTAATTAATTTTCTGAAGTAAGTTTTCGTAAGTTTCTAAAGCAAGGAGTCGTCAAAGACCTGTAGGAGCTTTGAAAGGCAAAATGTGCTGGTGAAATTACGAGCACATGGGACTTGTCAACTTACGTGTCGGTGACGGGCGCAGTAGCAGTGCCCCTCAGATCTTTGTGATTTAAGGCTCTGAGTGGCACTGCAACTGTTACGGACAGGCGTGTCGTTTACCACAAGGCCCACGATTTGTTCGTTTTTCTCTTGTTATCATTAAAAAAATATGGCTAAATGGTAAGAATGACACAAGTCCGAAAGAAATGGCGTACTTTGGTGTCGGAGGCTTTGAGTCACTACAATAATGAAAATTGCATATTTAAAATGGTCACCTACAGCTGGTTTTATAAAACAATTTTACTTTGAATTGTCAAACAAAAAAATCTATTTTCTATAGTTGACCTAAGTATTAGCCAGCCATAGAAATAGAGCTTAGCGTAGATGAAAATATATCAGCCCAAAAAGCAAATAATAATCCCAGTTATATTAATAACACGCGACCTCGCAATATTAATGTTAATTATTAATTACAGCGCAAACAATTATCCCACCCCTTAATTCACCGACCACGAGCGGTAGTCTCGAATTATTGCGCTAAATACGCAGCCCAATTTATCTTGAATCTCGTCAGGATCGGCGAAATTTAAATTAAAATGTAAATGTTGGAGGACTGCCCTGTCTAATTGCGACCCCAGTCCGTCCGTTGTCACAATCCTTCTGTTTCGTTAGCAGTAACGTGAGATTGCATTTAACAAAATAAATATTTAATTTGATTTTCATTGAAATTTATGCCAGTGATACAACGTAAACAACAAAAGCCTCAATCATGTTGTGATGTACAAATAATAATTGATCACTGTAATATTATAATATTTTAAAGATTTCTTCTTTGAACATAATAAATATTAAAATCCACTTCAATATTTCGGTCGTTGCAAAAGTTCTGAGAAATTTAATTATCTTTTTATGAAACACGTTTCACTTTTTTTCGTGTAACTTTGAAAACACTTAAGTTTATATTCTAGAGCATACTGGTTCAAACAAAATTATTTTATACGAATACCGTAATACCGAATATTTGGACGAATTTAGAACCTAAATATAGTATATAAGAAAGTATTTTTTGTCATCACACGGCAAACAACAAAGCTTTGTAACTGGCAAGGGTAACAATTTAAGTAATAATCGTGGGTAAACTTCAAATCGAATAGTGTATCTGTTAATTATAATTAATGCCCCCTAAGTTTGGATGAGTTTAAGCAATCT